GTGCCACACTGATCGCCACAACCCGCCAGCGTTTCCAGTCGGGGTTCCGTTTCGACCGCGCCCGGGGGGAGGTTTTTGCCACCCCTGCCATTTACATGCGGCGCTTCCCGCGAGTGTGGGGGCGGCAGAGGCGGCGCTAGTTCTCGCGGGGCCCAGACACTCGTGTCCGAACTGTCGCGATCTCCCACCCCCTTCTCCAACTTCCCCTTCTCCATCTTCCCCGCCCCCCTTTCCTCCTCCACCTCCATCCATCCTCTTCCTTATCATCCTTCTTATTTATCCTCCTTTTTCCAGACCTCCGATGATATATCGTGCTTTTCCATGGCGTGGTTGCCTGGAGCCCTAAAACCCAATCCTGTGGCCAGCTTTCGCTGCGAGCTGGCTTCTGTTGGTGAGCGTTCTCGCATTCGGCGTTTCGACATTTGGCGGAAGGGGGGGGGGTCTGGCTCCGGACCTCTGCTTAGCGCGACTGTGTGGAACCGTGCGTCCTGTCGGGGAGACTCCACCTGCTCGAAACAGGCGCCCAAAACAGCCAAGATCTACTCAAGAATGGGGGGGGGGGCGAGGGCCCGCGCCGATCGGCAAAACAATGAACCAGAAAACGATCACTCGCGGCGCTAGTGGCCTTAAAAGAGCAGCGCGGAGTTTTAGTGCAGATGCTGCTGATGATATTCACGACGATGAAAAGGATGGCGGTGATGATTGCGATGCTGACGACGACGACGACGATGACGATACTGATGATGAGGCTGCTGATGATGATGACGATGGTGACGATGCTGATGGTGCTGATGATGATGGTGATGATGGTGCTGCTGATGACGCTGATGACGCTGATGACGGTGATGATGATGATGATGATGATGATGATGATGATGATGATGATGATGATGTCGATGATGATGATGGTGCTGATGATGGTGATTGTGATGCTGATTCGGATGATGATGTCAATGATGATGCAGATGAAATGATGGTGGTGTGGAACATGGGTATGGTGATGATTATGACTGTAACTATGATACCGATGCTGATAAGGCTGATGATACTGATGATGCTGATGATGATTAACATGCTGATGAAGCTGATGGTGATGACGCTGCTGATTATGATGATGATGATGATGATGGTGGTGGTGCTGCTGCTGCTGCTGATGATTATCATGATGCTCATGATGGTGATGATAATGGCGATGATAATGGTGATTCTTATGGTGGTGGTGATGATGCTGCGGCTGATGGTGATGATGATGATGCTTACGATGCTGATGCTGATGATGTCGATCACGATGTTGATGATGATGTTGGTGATGGAAATAATGCGCATGCTGAACATGATGATGCTGTTGCTGCTGCTGCTGCTGATGATGATGACGATTGTGCTCGTGATGATGACTTGGAGGACTGACGAGGATTATGCTGATGATGACGAGGCACGGGGCCTCGAGGAGGAGGAGGAGGAGAACGAGGAGTATTATGCTGATAGTGTTATATCGGGCCTGTCCCCCTACAGGGGGATCTTCGACGAAAAATACAACATACCTCCACAATAGCCCCAAAAAAATCCAAACATAACCTGGGGACTACTTTGTAAGTATTGTTTGGCCGTGTTGGAATATTTGTGGTGTATTTTTGAATGTTCCGTAGAAAAAACCCCTGCAGGGGGACACGCCCGATAGTGACGCGGAGGAGGAGCAGGAGGAGGAGGAGGAGGAGGAGGAGGAGGAGGAGGAGGAGGAGGAGGTGGGGGCGGAGGAGAAGGATGGCTGATGATGATGATGATGATGATGATGATGATGACGATTACGATTAGGATCATGATTATGATTATGATGATGACGATGATGCTGATGCTGATGATGCTGATGATGATGGTTACAATGATGATGCTGATGATGCTGCTGCTGCCGATGATGATGATGATGCTGATGATGATGATGATGATGATGATGATGATGATGATGATGCTGATGCTGATGCTGATGCTGATGCTGATGCTATTGATGATGACGGTGGTGATGGTGATGGTGTTGATGATGGTGCTGGTAGCGGTGGTGATGATGAGGAGGAGGTGGACGACTGACGAGGATGATGCTGATGATGATGAGGCACGGGGCCTCAAGGAGGAGGAGGAGGAGGAGGAGGAGGATGGGAGGAGAGGAGGAGCATCATGCTGATGATCACGAGGAGGAGGAGGAGGAGAGGAGGAGGAGGAGGAGGAGGAGGAGAAGGAGGAGGAGGCGGAGAAGGACACCCTGCCCTGGCATGGGGCCTCGTCAGCGCGGGGCTGCCGCTGACGCCCGCTGGCCTCAGCACGGCGTGGGCGGCCGGCAGGGCGACGAAGGCCACCGCCGCCAGGGCGCTCGGGCGCCCGTCCAGCATCGGCGCGTGCGAGCGCTCTCCTCCGCGCGGGATCCTCCTCCGACTCCTCCTCCGACTCCTCCTCCTCCTCCACCTCCTCCTCCCCCCCCCCTCCTCCTCCTCCTCCGCCTCCTCCTGTCCCCACCTCCTCCTCCTCAAACTCCTCCTTCTCCTCCTCCTGCTCCTCCTCCTCCTCCTTTCCTCCTCCTCCTCTTCCTCCTCCTTCTCCTTCCTCCTCTCTCCTCCCCCTACTCCTCCTCGTCCTCCTCCTCCTCCTCTTCCTCCTACTCCTGCTCCTTTCTCCGCCTCCTCCCCCAACTCCGCCTCCTCCCTCTCATCCTCCTCCTCCTCCTCCTCCGCCTCCTCCTCCTCCTCCCTCCTCCCTCCTCCTCCTCCTCCCTCCTCCTCCTCCTTCTCCTCCTCCTCCTCCTCATCATCATCCCCCAACTCTTCCACCTCTTCCTCCCCCTCCTCCTCCGCCTCCTCCTCCTCCACATCCTCCTCCCTCTCCTCCAACTCCTCCTCCTTCTTCTCCTCCTCCGTCTCCTCCTCGTGGGTAACCGGGTTACTCATTACACAGAGTGCCGTACAAGCACAGCACCCTGCAAAGAACATATTGCGCCACTCCCCTCGCCGTCCTCAGTTCACGGCCTGAGGGTGGGAGAGCGATGGGATTCGTTATACTCAAGTCAGTGCCTGGCAGGAGTTTCCTCTTGAGTTTCCTGCTCTCTGACGAAACCTTACCTTCGCAAGGGCCCCTGAGCTTCGGGCCCACCTTGCACGTGCTGAACGCACCGCACGCGGTGCAGTGCACAACAGGGGCCCCAGCGCCAATCACCCAAGCAACGTGAAGTTTGTGGTGGTTCTTGGGGCCCGACAAAAAGCTTTCGAGCGACGGGCTCGAGCAAGAACATCCGGCGCTGAAAACCACTGTGTGCCCCAGGTAACGAAACAAACACATTGCACCTGCGCTTGCCATCGTGCCAGATGGGAACGTGGGGGTTGGTGTGCTTGGGGGGTCGGCTCTTCGGACCAACCTGGACGCGACCCAACTCACCCAATTCGCCCAAACTGGGCCACTCCCCAAGCACCTCCCCAACTCCGTGACATAGGGGCAGGTAATCCTTGGTGTTCTTGGTGGTGAGCTCAGCTGTAGCACCACTGTAGGCATGGGAGCGGGCAGCTAGTCCAGCAGGGAGGTCAGCCAGTCGGTTTCGCTTGCAGAGGATCTTCAGCTCCTCAGTGGGCAACTCATCCTCATTTTGGTGACCCTTGACTTGATCGGGGATGGACAGACCCCCCTTTAGTAAAACGTGGTTTAGTGAAAACGACCTGAGGCCCAAACCTGGCGGGCACAAGCCTGGAAAGTAACGTCCGCGGCGCCCTCTCGAGAACCGGAAACGGACAATTCACTAATCGACGTGTCACTGTTGGGGGTTCTGTCCAGCCCCGACTTGAGTGAGCGGGGAGAGGCCGTCAGGGCGGTGCCCGGCGATCTCCCTCCGCGCGTGGGCCTGGACAGTGGCCCCCGACAGAGCCCAAGGGAAAACACATACAGTCGGGGCGTTGACCTAAGGAACCCTAAATAAGGAACGGGGCCCCTGTTTTCCCTTAACTTAAACTTCGACTCCCCATGGAAAACCTAAGGAAAACCCACAGCAAACTGCATAACAATCGCACTAGTCAGAAGCGGCCAGCCAGAAGCGCACTAGTCCTGACTGTACACGCATGATAAAAGGACCGCACCATGCTCAGCGGTCCAGCTGCTCTGTGTCATGGATCCCGGGAGGGGGCTGCGCAGCCCGCGGATGAGGTCCCCAGGGTACCCCACCTGGACCACAGTGACGCCAGCCCGGGAGAGGTGGCTGAGGTGGGGGATAGAGGCACGACCTAGCAGTGAAAAGGCAAGGTAGGTGGCGATCTGGGCTGCCGTGGTCCCCGCCCCCCGTCCACTTGAGCTACCGACCTCCAGGGCACAGCCGGGCGGCAATGCCGCTTGTCACAGGGATGCGTAGTGCGCGTACCAGATACAGACAACGGTCCTTGCAACAAGCTCCAGGATGAGAGGGCTTGTTCGCCCAACCTTGACGAGCACCGCCCTCAAGAACAGGAGAACTCGTGCGCCTCGCTCGGATCGACGGGGTTCCGCCTACCCTCGAAGGACCCGGCAACACAATGCAAACCGCCTCCTCCTCCTCCTCCTCCTCTTCCTCCTCCTCCTCCTCCTCCTCCTCCTCCGCCTCTTCCTCCTCTTCCTCCCGGCACCTCCGCCCCCTTCCCCATCCTCCTCCCCTCCTCCTCCTCCTCCTCCTCCTCCTCCTCCTCCTCCTCCTCCTCCTCCCGGCACCTCCGCCCCCTTCCCCATCCTCCCTCCCCGTCCGCCCTTCCGACACCGCTCGGCGGGGTAGCCCAAACGGTCCCAGCGCCCGAGGCCCCTGGCCCCCTGCGGGCACCACCGCATGCAGCAGGCGCCTGCCAGCTCCCCGCTCGCTCGAGCACCGCAGGCGACTGCGCGCAAGGACACCCGCTGCCCAGCGACCACGCCGTCCTCGACGACGTCCCCGACCTAGACGACGACGACGACGGCCCCTCCGACAACGGCCCTGACGGCGGCGTCGGCGGCGGGCGGGCGGCGCGGGCGCTCCCGCGCCCGCCGCCCGGCGCACGTGCCGGGCACGAGCCGGCGTCACCACCAGCAGCTCCTCCCGGGCGGCGGCGGCGGCATCCCCGCCGTCGACGTCGCTGCACGCTGCCGCTAGCGGCGCCGCCAGCGCAGCCGTCTCCAGCGCGACGCCCCGCGTGGGCGGCGCAGCAGCTCCCGGCCCTCCACTGCTGCGGGCTGCGGGGCTGCGGCCGCTGCCGCCGTCGCCGCCGCCGACATCGCCGCCGCAGCCGACATCGCCGCCGCCGCCGACGTCGTCGTTGCCGCCGCCGCCGCCGACGTCGCCGCCGTCGCCTACCTTGAAGACCTCGACGGGGACCTCGGGATACCTCCTGCGACCGCCGACGAGCAGGCCTCGGTCGCAGGTCGTCGTCGCGGTCGCCATCGTCGACGCGTAAGGCGCGCAGCCTCTCACGATCGCCGCTGCGGGGGCGTGGCCCGAACAGCAGGATGCCAGCTCCTCGAGTTGTTTCCCAACCATCCTGTGGTGTAGGGTCCTCGTTTTGAGTAGACGGTCACCGCGTTCCCTCTTTCCTTCCTTCCTCCTCCTCCTCCTCCTCCTTCTCCTCCTCCTCCTAGTCCTCCTACTACTCCTCCTCCCTCCCCCTCCTCCCATCCCTTGCCTCAGCCCTCCGCATGTCCCCCGCTTCGGCACACCCCTCACACGCTTCGTGGTCCCAAAGGGAGCTCCACCGAACCCCCCAGTGGGACCGCCCGCATGCGTCAGCCACCACCCAACACAGCGCTTCCTGGCCCCATATGGGGGCTCCAACGAAGGCCCCAGTGGCACCGCCCTCATGCGTCAGCCACCACCCAGTACAGCGTTTCGTGGCCCCCATGGGGAGCTCCACCGAAGCCCCCAGTGGGACCGCCCGCATGCGTCAGCCACCACCCAACACAGCGCTTCGTGGCCCCATATGGGAACTCCACCGACGGCCCCAATGGGACCGCCCGCGTGCGTCAGCCACCGCCCAGTACAGCGCTTCGTGGGCCCATAGGGAGCTCCACCGGCGGCCCCAGTGGCACCGCCCGCATGCGTCAGCCACCACCCAAGGAGCTGGAGCTCCATCGAGGGAGCTCCATGGCCTCGCATGGAGCTCCATCGAAGGTCCCAGTTGGACCGCCCGCATGCGTCAGCCAAGCGCTTCGTGGCCCCATAGGGAGCTCCACCGACGGCCCCAGTGGCACCGCCCGCATGCGTCAGCGCTTCGTGGTTTTATAGGTAACTCCACCGAAGATCCCGATAGGAGCGCCCGCATGCGTCTCCCACCAGCGAGTCCTGCACTTCGCAGCCCCATTGATTGGGAGCTCCACCGACGGCCCCAGTGGCACCGCCCGCATGCGTCAGCCACCACCCAATAGAGCGCTTCCTGGGCCCATAGGGAGCTCCACCGAAGGCCTCAGTGACACCGATCGCATGCGTCAGCCACCACCCAGCACAGCGTTTCGTGGGCCCACAGGGGGCTCCACCGACGGCCCCGATGGCATCGCCCGCGTGCATCAGCCACAGCACAGTACAGCGTGTCGTGGTCCCATAAGGAGCTCCACAGATGGTCCCAGTGGGACCGCCGCATGCGTCAGCCACCACCCAGTACAGTCACAGAGAGACCCCAGTGGCAGCGCCCGCATGCGTCGTCCACCACCCAGAATTGTATTTCGCGGCTCCATTGATTGAGCTGCTCCACCAAGCCCCAATGGCACCGCCCGCATGCGTCCCCCCCATCCAGTACAGCGTTCTGTGGCCCTGTAGGGAGCTCTGGTGGTCCGCCCGCATTCGGCCCCCCACCCAGTACCATGTTCCGTGGGCCCATAAGGAGCTCCACCGAAGGCCCCGGTGGCACCGCCCGCATGCCCCCCTCCCAGTACAGCGCTTCGTGGCCCCATGGGGAGCTCCACCGGAGGCCCCAGTGGCACCGCCATGCGTCAGCCACCACCCAGTACAGCGTTTCGTGTCCCCGTAGGGAGCTCCACAGAAAGACCCCAGTGGCACCGCCCGCAGGCGTCTCCCCCAACCAGTACAACGTTTCGTGGGCCCATAGGGAGCTCCAATGAGGGGCACCGCCCGCATGCGCCCGCCACACCCAGTACAGCGTTTCGTCATAGGGAGCCCCACCGAAGGCCCCAGTGGCACCGCCCGCATGCGTCTCCCCTACCCATTACAGCACGTCCCTCACGCGGTTCGTGGCCCCATAGCGAGCTCCACCGGAAGCGGCACCCACAACACATTACTCACAACTGCACATGGTTGAGTCCTTGGACAAAATAATTTTGTATACCAGACCCTCACCACCCCTGTCAGATTCCACCCCACGGGGCCACGCTCAGTACACAACAACCAGTCCCCAGGGAGGGAATCTTGTATACCAAACCCATAACCACGACCCTCGCCCATCCCCCAGGGCTTTTGGGCACAGTATGCAAATTTGCCGGGCAGACCAACTGCTGCTGCTGCTGCTGCTGCTGCTGCTGCTGCTGCTGCTGCTGCTACTGCTGCTGCTGCTGGTGCTGCTGCTGCGGCTGCGGCTGCTGCGGCTGCGGCTGCGGCTGCTGCTGCTGCTGCTGCTGCTGCTGCTGCTGCGCCTTCTCTTCCCATGAGCACTCGGCGGCCCCTTGTCGCCGCCGGAGGGGGCCGCGGAGGGGCCGCTTCGGGGGGGGGGAGGGGAGACTCGCAGGGGGGGGCGAACAGGACATAGCACTGCAACGCTCGCGAGGAGGAGGAGGATGGAGGAGGAGGAGGAGGGAGGAGGAGGAGGTGGAGGAGGAGGAGGAGGACGGAGGAGGGTGGGTTGAGGGTGAGGGTGAGGGGGAGGAGGGGAATGGGGTGGGTGAGGAGGGGAACGGGGGGAGGGGGAGGGGGAGGGGTAGGAGGAGGTGGAGGAGGAGGAGGAGGAGGGAGGAGGAGGGGAGGTGAAGGAGGAGGTGGAGGAGGAGGAGGAGGAGGAGGAGGAGGAGGAGGAGGAGGAGGAGGAGGAGGAGATGGGGGAGGGGGAGGGGTGAGAGGAGGGGAAGGGGTTTTGGTAAGGGTTGGGTTAGGGTTAGGAGGGGAGGAGGAGGTAGGGAGGGAGAGGAGGAGGAGGAGGAGGAGGAGGAGGGGAGTGAGGGGGGGGGAGGAGGGGAAGGGGGAGGTGTGTGAGGAGGAGGAGGGTTGAGGAGGAGGAGGAGGTGGGGAGGTGGAGGAGGGAGGAGGAGGAGGAGGAGGAGGAGGGAGAGGAGGAGGGAGGCTCTGAAGGAGGAGTCGAGCATGTGCAGGTGGGAATGGGCCCCCAGAGAGAGTTCGAGGGGGCCGTCTCGCACGAGCCGCTGCACGAGCCTCAGCCGGGGGGCCCTCTGTCCACCCGCGCCGATTCTTTGCGAGCCAATCCCTGGGCTCTTCAGGAGGGTGGAGGTGGTGGAAGGAGGAGGAGGAGCGGTGGAGGAGGAGGAGGAGGAGGAGGGAGCTGGGAGGAGGAGGAGGAGGAAGAGGAGGAGGAGAGGCTAGAAGGAGGAGGAGGAGGAGGAGGAGGAGGAGGAGGAGGAGGAGGAGGAGGAGGAGGAGGATGAGGAGCTAGGAGGAGAAGGAGGAGGAGGAGGAGGAGGAGGAGAGGAGCAGGAGGTCCAGCAGCAGGAGGTGGCGGGCCAGGATACGGACGCGACGGGTCTGGCCCTACGTGGCCAACGCACACAGAGGTCGAGAACAAGGCCGACGACGACGATGACCAATGACGACGGCGATGGTGGCACGGACGACGGACGACGAAATACAAATGACGGACGACCGCCGACGACGACGACGACGTCGACGACGTCGACGACAACGACGACGACGGCGGTGACGGCGGCGGTGACAGACGACGACATGCGATAACGGACGATTGCGATGACGACCTCTTCTGGCTGACCCCGGAGGTCCCTGGCAGCCTCAGAGGCCTCTGGAGGCCTCCAAGAGGTCCCTGGGCATGCCCAAATGCATGGCACAAAAAGCATCGCAAATGCTCGACCCTCGACGCCCGACGGCGGCGACCACCGGTCCGGTGACGGCCACCACCGACGACGACGACGGAGGCGGCGAGGACGGCGAGGCGGCGAGGACGGCGATCGGCGGCGACCAGCGAGGGTGGCGATCAGCGAGGCCAGCGATCAGCGAGCACGGCGATCGAGGGCGACGACGGCAATCGGCGAGGAAGGCCGCGCCTCTCCGCGGCGGCGCTCCTCGGTGTCCGACCACGGGAGCTCCGTGGCCCCGCCGCACGGGCCGCTGGGGTCCGCGTCGCTGGCGCACGTGTCGACCTCGGTGACGGGTCGTCGTCGTCGTCGTCTTCGTCGTAGTCGTCGTCGGAGTCGTCGTCGTCGTCGTCGTCGTCGTCGTCGTCGTCGTCGTCGTCGTCTTCGTCGTCGTCTACTCGTCGACAGGGGACTTCCGGAAGACCACGGAGACCCTGGGGACCTCGAGATGTTGAGACTTGGGCTCTCGCCGTTGTCGTCGCCGAGGGAGCACGATGAGGAGGAGGGGGAGGGGATAAGGTTAAGGTGGTGGAGAAAGACGGAGAGAAGGGAAGATAGGGGCACCGATGAGCACATGGAGGGCGAGGCAGAGGATGTGGAGCCCAGGAGCCGGCGGATGTAGAGAGGGAGACGAAGGAGGATGAGCAGGAGGAGAAAGATACTGCTACAGGGCAGTTTTTAATACATGGGATTTTTACGACAAAACATGCGATCTTTAATACATGATGAATTTATGAACAAATCAATGCGTCAGTTCATCATTGGTTTTAATACTACATCCTTCATTTTTAACACATGATCCGCACGCGGAGCATGTAGAAACAACGGCACTGTATGGACAAGGGGGATGAGGACGAGGCCGAGAAAGAGGAGGAGGAGGAGGAGGAGGAACACTCGGCCTTGGTGCCTTCTCGCCTGTCCTGCGGGGTCCCTTGGTGCCCCGCCTTCTTGCGGTTCGGCGGGCGCGGCGTCGCGCGACGCGGCGGTTTGGCCGCGCTCGTGGAGGTGCTGGACACCGCAGAGTGCGCCATGGGGTGGGTGAGTGGGTGAGGAGGAATACTGCAAACCCAAAACGCACCAACGATGCTGTGACAACGCCCACCATACAAGTACCCTCTTCGTGGGCCCCTAACAAGAATGTATTGCCATTGCGGGAAGCGTCTCATTAGAAGACGATCGTTTGAGACCCCCCAGTGCAACTACAATAAATTTTCTGGGACTTCGACACTGCGCGCGAATCAACGTGACAACTGCGTCCTAACAACCCTAGCTCGGGCCAGAACACCATTCATGGGACTGGAGCACCGCGAGTCTATACACCTGCTGCGTCCTGACATCGTAAACCGTGCCAGAACAGCATTCGGATCCTTCAACACTTGAAATCCTGGAAGCTGTTGCAAACGTTTGGGATGAATGTGAGCGGGGATAAAGCAAAAAACACATTTTGAGAACGTCCCACCCTCCATCCTTGAAGCTGCTTTACACTTTTAGAACGAAGGTGCGCGCGGCGCGGAAGCGATATCCACAAGCCGGATTTCGGAAACCCTGTGCCCAAAAACGTTGTCATGTCTTGGGGGCGCAATTTTCACTTCTGCCGCCTTCCGCCGAGCTTCCGCCAGCTTCCGCCGGCGGAGGCGGCCTCGTTTTACTTCCGCCAACCTTCCACCGCCTTCCGCGGCGGAAGAGATGACAATTCTTTCTATCCTTGAAGGCAAGGCCTTGTTTGGAACGCCTCACATGTTGGAAAAGACCTCCGTTTCTTGAGGCTGTTGCTAACTTCGCCACGGATGACTCTCGGCGCCATGACGAGAGGAACCCCGTTTTGAAACAGGCCCGCCCTCCATCCGTGAAGCTGTTGCACAGTTGATCGGGACGGGTGTGCGTGGCGCTCACGCGAGAGCCACACTTTGAAGACGGCCCGACCTACATCCGTGAAGCTGGTGCAGGTTCCAAGCCTCAGAACCATAAGTGGTGAGGGTGTCTCCGAAGAAACGACTGGCCCGCCTCACCGACACGCCTGGGGGTGCGACAGGGGGGAACGCTGTATGAGGACATGCCATGCAGAAGGCGGTCTGCCCTCTTCCTGCGCCCCACCATCATCCCTACTCCCCCCCTTCCCTCTCCACACCTACATAATACGAGTACTGCTATCCTCTCTCCCTTGGTGACGTCTGGGAAATATCCGCCTCCCCTCCGCGTGCTGGTTTTTAGCGCAGGATTCCCGGGAAACGGGTTGTCGCTTGGGTTTTGTTTCGCAATGCTGCTCTCACTGAAGCGCTGGCCTGATTTTCGGGCTGCCGCTCGTTTCGAATCGTGCTCCCGCTGCAGCGATGGCGTCATTATTTCCAGCGCCGTGCCACGGCATGGTTTTCGTGCCACCCCCCCCGAAACAGCCATCGGAAGTGATTCCTCATTCGGTGTCAATTCGTTGATTTTTGGGGCCGCAGAAGCCCCCCCCCAAATTGGGGCGTCGCCACGCCATGCTATGTCAAGCTACGCGTCCTCCGAATCGTGCTCCCGCTGCAACGTTGGCCTCATTTCCGCGCTTTCGCTCGTCCCGAATCGTGCTCCGTGCCACGGCATGGTTTTCGGTCCTTCCAGTTGGGCCCCAAAATCTAAGAAAATGCCCCCCCCCGAAACACGCCATCGGAAGTGATTCCACATGCGGTGTCGATTCGTTGATTCTTTGGGACGCAGAAGACCCCCCCACTCTGGGGCGTCGCCACGCCATGCAATGTCAGGCTACGCGTTGATCTTCAACACCATGCTATGCCATGTAATGCTGTGCCCTGCTGCGACAACCGACTGTGCGAATAGAGCGGAGATCTGCGCCATGGTAAGGGATGGGAGGGAGGGGTAGGACGTCAGATGTGACGCGAGCGCACCTACTTAGCTTGTCACTGGCCCCTCCTCCTCATCTCCCTTCTCAACCCCCCTCTCTCTTCCTTCCCTCCCTCCCTCCTCTCCCTCCTCTCCCTCTCCCTCCTTCTCCCCCTCTCTCCCTCCTCTCCCTCTCTCCCTCCCTCCCTCCCTCCTTTCCCTCCCTCCTCTCCCTCTCTTCTCTCCCTCCCTCTCCTCTCCCTCTCCCCCTCCCTTCTCCTCCACGCCGGGGAGGAGCGCGCGCCGACCTCGATCGTGCGCAGCAGCTCCTCGTCGGACACGGTGTGCGACTCGTCGCCAGAGCTGCCGACCCACTCGTCGGGGGTGACGGGGCCAGTGGAGTTCGCCTCAGAAAAGGGGGGAGGGAGAAGGAGGAGGAGGTGGAGGAGGAGGAGGAGGACGACGAGACGGAGGTGGACCTCATCTCAAAGGGAAGATGAGGGAGGAGGATGATCGAAAGGAGGCCGAGGACCATGATTATAAGGACATTTAGTGTAAGGGAGAAGACGGCAAAGAGCAGCAGAAAGATGAGGATGATGAGGAGGGAGAATGAGAGGACGAAGGAGGAGGAGGAGGAACAGGAGGAGGAGAGGTTGGGAGAGGAGGAAGAAGAGAGGAGGAGAAGGAAGAGGAGGATGAGGAGGATGAGGAGGAGCAGCAAGATAATGATGAGGATGAAGATCAGGAGAAGCATGCCCAAAGGACTAGCGGCAGGCTGAGGAGCGAAACTGGGAGAAGGAACGGGTGGACGAGGGTGAAAAGCACGAGCAGGGGCAAGAGGAGGTGGAGGAGATGTAGAAGGTGGAGCAGGATGCGCACGAGGAAGGATAATACCCTCCTCCTCCTGCTCCCTGGGATCCCCAGGGGAGGAGGAGGAGGAGGAGGAGGAGGAGGAGGAGGAGGAGGAGGAGGAGGAGGAGGAGGAGGAGGAACTGCACGCCTCCTTGCGAGCAGCGAGTCTCGTCTTGGGACAGGCACCGCGCGCGGCGGCCGGCAGAAGGGTCCGGGCCGTTGGTCCTGGAACGCGCCGTGGTGGACGTCTGGCACGCGGGAGCGGACGGCCCCTGGAGGTTGGACGTGACGGTCCGCCACCCGGCGGCCGGCGACGAGACGGCGCTCTGGGCTGCGGCGCGACGGCCAAGCGAGGCGACGCGCAGGGCCGAGCTTGCGAAGCACGAGGGGCATCCAGGCGAGCGCCCGACTGAGTTCGCCATGGGAACCTCGGGCCACCTGGGCGCAGAGGTGCGGTAGTGGCTGCTGGCGCAGGTGCGCGAGTTCCCCGAGGACGCGCAGCACGGGGAGCTGGCGCGCGCCTACGAGGCGCCCAGCTGCGCGCTGCAGCGCCAGGTGGCGCGCTAGCTCTGGCGCGCCGCCGGGCTGCGCTGAGCGGCCGCGGGGGGGGCATTGCCTGCTGGCTGGCGGCGGGGGCGGCAGCGCTGCGCGCGGGGCTGCTGCCGCGGAGGAGAACGGGCGGAGCCGGCCCGACCGGGGCCAGAGGCGCCGTGCGAGCTGGCCCGGAGCGCGGGGGGCGCGACGGCGGCGGCCCGGCTTCGGGGGCTACGCGGTCGCGCTGGTCCCCGTGGGGTTCCCGAGTGCTGGATTCTAGAAGTCCCCGTCGGCAGACCCCTCCCTCCTGGGAGTGGCCGCTGACCGTAGCCGGCCACCTCTGGGGGACCCGCCCTCTAATCGTGGGACGGCGGAGGTGTCCGCAGACTTCCCCGGCCACAGTGCGCCAGGCTGCGCGGACACGCGGCAGCCCGCAGGAGGAAGAGGAGGAGGAGGAGGAGGAGGAGGAGGAGGAGGAGGAGGAGGAGGAGGAGGCGGAGGAGGAGGAGGAGGAGGAGGAGGAGGAGGAGGAGGAGGAGGAGGAGGAGGAGGAGGAGGAGGAGGAGGAGGAGGAGGAGGAGGAGGAGGAGGACGACAAGGGTGACAAGGAGGCGAAAGATAGTTATTATGACAGACAGACGTATAAGTGCGGACTTTGCCCCCGCACTGGGCGAACGCCAATAATTTTCCCTCGCAATCCATCGTGTGCAAACCTGCCATGCCAGATGCGGACGAGTAGGGCGAGGACCGGAAGCGAGGGCAGTGGTAATGGCGATGACTATTGGGCGATGGCGATACTCATCATGAGTATGCTGATAATTGCGTTGTTGATGATGATGTTGATGCCGATGCTGATGATGATGCTGCTGATTATCATGACGATGCTTGTGGTGATGATGAGGAGGATGCCAATGATGATGGCGATGCCGATGACGACGATGATGACCGTGATCACTTATGCTGACGGCGATCACTGGTTGATGCTTGATGCTGCTGCTGCTGTTGCTGCTGCTGGTGGCGCTGCTGCTGCCGACGATGGTCCCCGCAACCGCTCGCGCGGCGGAACGGGAGGCGGAACCTCGCCGCCGCCGCGTGGAGACGGACCCCGCGGGGCCACCCTGCGCGCGGGGCAGGCCGGGCCGCGCAGCTCGCCATCGCTCGGACGTCCATCCCATGTGCCTTTCTCGACCTCGTGCCTCGCTGGTGCTCGCCGAGACAGCGCTGCACGCGCCCCAGCGATGCCGAGGCGGCCCCGCTGGACCTCGCCGGCCGGCGCGGTCGCCGCCGCCCGCAGCGCCCGCAGCCGCCGGGGCGCCGCGCCCCGCCCCGCCAGCTCGGGCGGGCGGGGCCGCCGCGGGCGCGCCCGCGGCGCCGCCCCCACGCGCCGGCGAGGCTCGCGGCGGCCGCGGGGCGGCCGCCCGAGCGGCGGCCTCTCCGAGGGGCGGGGGCGCGCGCCGCGGGCGCGCCCCGAGGGGCGGGGGTGGCCAGGGGATGCCTCTGGGCGCCGCCGCCGCAGGGGCTGGCGCGTGCCAGGTGGCCTCCCCCCCCCCCACCCTACCCCCCCCGCCGCCCAGTAGTCCAGCACTCCAGCTGCAGCCGAATAGGGGGCCACACGCGAGCCCTACCCCTACCCCCCACGATTTCTGAGGGGAGGGTGGGGTTCACTTCGCTCGGTAGCTCCCAGACGAGTGAACCCCACCCTCCTCCTCAGAAATCGTGGGGGGTAGGGGTAGGGTTCGCGCGTGGCCCCCTACCGAATCCACGCACGAATGGCAGGTGAGAGGGACACGGCAGAAGCGACGCCGAAGTGAGGCGGGCCTCTTGCCGGTCGTGTGCCTCCTCCCTGGGGGTGTGGGGGGTGGGGCTGCGGCCGTGCCCCTCTGAGCTGAGGCGGTGCGTGTGCGCCGAGGGCCTCCGAGCTGGGGCAGGGCGTATGCGCCAGCCTATGTGGGGGAATGGGCTTTGCAGCCCCCCCCTTCCCTCTGCCCCCCCCCCCCGCCCGCCCCCCCGCCCCCCCCCCCGCCCCCCCCCCCCCGCAATCGCCAGTTACACGCACACAACACACACAGCATACACAGTTACACGCACACAACACACACAACACCCGCAACACACCAACAACACACAACACACAACACACATCACACAACACACAACACACCTACACAGACCTACATACCTACACACACCTACACACACCTACACACACCTACACGCACCTACACACACCTACACACACCTACACACCCACGCACACACACACGCGCACACACACACACACGAACACACACACACACACACTCACACGCACACCCCCACACACACTCACCGGCGCACACACACACACACCCGCACACACACACACACACTCACACACACACACACACGTTCACACACTCACATACTCTCACACACACACACACGCAAGCACACACACACACGCAAACGCGGGGTGTTGGTGTGATTCTTATTACGACAGTGGTTATGACATCTGATTTCTGATTTCTGATGATGATGATGATGATGATCGCACTCCCCTGAGCGCGCCAGAGAGGGGGGCAGTTCAGCTGCCCTCTGCCGCGGGCCTCCTGATGAGCAGGCTCCGCACGCCGCGCCCCTTCTTGGCAATGTGGCGGGCGCGCGCGCGCAGGAGAGGCAGCAGGCATTCGGGCCCGTACCTGTGCGAGCTCCTCAAGGAGTTAAAGGTAGAAAAAAGCAGGTCGTGGACAAGAAACAAAGAGAACAGCTGCTGACTAGACTGGCATGGCATAGTGCACAGCATACGCGCATCGAGGCTCTGATTCAAATATTCGACTGGCAGGAAGGGCAAAACAGAATGGAGCAAGCTCAGGACATGAGGGCAATCGAAGTAATGCTGGACGTGGTCGCCGCCTGTGGCCAGGCAACCGAAACGGCAGGTAAGACGGCCTTGCCTATGCCTGGCAGAGGTCGCCCACGCGTTGCAGATGGTTTTGAGAATGGCCGCAACCACAAATGGGCCGACGCGCGTGCAGGCAATTTGGAGCCTGAGCACCGCAAGGTCGATACTAGAGGCATCAGCAAAAGGAAAAGCGAACCGAATTCGATTGCCCAGGAGAAAACTCGCGGAGCTACAAGGGGCCTCAGAAAGCAATTTCTTCAAAATCTGTCTCTGCAACTCGTGAGTGTCCTCATCGAAGTGGTTCCACGGCAGGGCAGTTAGTCGCTCGTAATTGTGAATCAGGTGGAAAACAATGGACTCGGCACGCCATGCCGGGTATCGCTTGACCATCAGAACATCCAAGTCCTCTTCCTCAAGCTCATGAAAGCGCTTCCGAATGCTATCAAAAACCTTAGACCGAACAGCGACCCGATACATGGCAGCCTGATTCTCCAGCACTAGGTTGCGCGGGGCAATGGGCCAATGCAACGCAGACGAGAGATTGCGGAGAAGATCAGTAGGGATGCTGTAGAAGGGGCATGCGGTGAGAGTCTGCAAACCTTTGGTTTCCATGCGAAGAGCGTCCTGCGATATGTAACATAGCTGCATCACGAAGGTGGGAACCGAGAAGGCCAAGGAGTTATATGCATAGATACTTTGAGTAAGCCCAAGACGAAGCGACCGAACATGACGGACACGATTAATATATTTCTGAAGCGGAGCGGACCAGGATTTCTTGTAACCTCCAGGGCCCAGAAAGACACCCAAGACTTTGCCACTAGTGCCGTGCATAAGCGAGCGAACGTTGGTGCGAACGGACTCGAACAGGGCGAAATGCTGGTCGTCTGGCATCTCTTGCACGTGCACGATCATACACTTGGCAAGGTTCAAGAGCAGGCCAGTGCAACGGCTGGACCTAATAACATTCTTCAGCACAATCGGAACAGCGAGCAACAGGTTGGATGCCGAGATCTGGATGTCATCTGCAAAGGCACGAGGGGTAGCACAAACAGGAGCTAGCAAGTTAGATAATCGGCGCAGCAGCGGGTCGATGCATAACGCAAATAAGGCACCCGACAGCGGACATCCTTGTTTAATGCC